GGGGGGAGGGGGGAAGGTGCACATGCCAAACTCTTTCATGTGTACTTAAATCAAGGGAAAGTTTGTTTTAAAAATCAAAATATCAATTTATTCTTCTAAATTCATGAAGGTTTGGTCACCACTTAAGAAAGCATTTTTTTAATCATTTGCATGTGGAGACTAATTAATATCTCACTGATAAATGAAAACATCCTTATTGGCTGTGTTTTATAAGAGTTATTCCAAAATACCAAATCTATTTTTAAATATGTTAGACCATTGTTGAAAACATAGTATCATATTGTTTAAATAGGTCTGCTTTCTCAATCTCTATTTTGAATAGAAGAGCAATGTGGACTCTAGGGAAAATGTTGAGAACAGATCAGGCAGACCTGAGCCTGAAGAGAGATGTCCCAGACAAAGCAATCCCTAGCAAAGAACCAACCAGTCAGTAATGCCTACCCAGCCTCACAAGCTCTGCAGCAAGGTCACTGCACACAAAGGATTATAAGAACATAAGCTCCAATAGGGTAAGCTTTTCATTTGTTTTATCACTATCCCAGCAGACAGGAAAATGTGTGGTACACGGTAAGCATCCATTAAACATTGGTTAAATCAATGAACAAATGAACAAAAAAAATTAAATCCCAGGTCTTTCAAGTCAACCTATATTAAGTTGCAGGATTATTTAAAAACAAACTTGGCATACATTAACTGAGTAGCTGTACTGTCTTTTAAAAACATGAATAATCAGTATTACCCATTCTGACTAAATAATGTCAAAGTTTGTAAGATATCTCTTGACCTACAGCAGATACTGTAACACATTTACATACCCTTCCCTGAGTTTAAAATACGGTGTTATCAGAAACTCTCATAAAGAAGAATTAGGACAAAATAAATGCATAAAATCAAAATTAGAGCAAATGTATCATGTTTGCAATCACACTTGAGATAGCATTAACTTAGGTAAGAAACACAGGCTACAAGAAACATTGACCAGCATTTACTTCTCACAACAGCACCTCTACCAAAATCTGCTCTTCTATAATTAAAAAATCAAAAATTTGTGGTTTGTTTCTCCATTCCTACAGCATATCTGTAAATGATTTGTCATCTTATAGTTTGAAGAACTTCCTCAAAATATAAGATGTATTTTATTTCCAACCACCAAATTGCAATTTACTCATATTAAATAGGTAATACTGTATTTCTTTTACAAAACATGCAGTAAAATTATGTGGAGCAGAATGCAAGTAAATGCAACCAGAGTATATATGATTTATGCTCACTATTAAGCAAATAACTTCTATTTCACTTAACCTATTTTTTGTGTGAAGAAATTCAACTTATTCCCTGCACATTCTCTTTAAGTCACTAATATATTCTAAGTGATGAGCTTTATTCTGCTTCCCAAGTACTGCCCATATAATCAAGACACCATTTCAATACCAATTTAAACCTAATATTTTCCAAAGGGCCTGCCTTACGTGGGTTATAATCATCTTACTATGCTTCTTGTGTCCATGCTGCTGGAAAAGCAGTCTGTACAAGCAGGAGTAGAGGCACAATCCTGAGAGAGAGGAGTAGAGAAAGATGTTGAGAAAACAAAACCAGAATAAATGAGTTCATTTAAGAGCTTAGGAGCTCAGCCAGTGTTCAAGGTCAAGGTTGATTACATTCTCTCACACCACTATGAGTTAGAAGTTGTCCAATATCAGCAAAACTGGCCCTAGAAAGAAATATCTGAAATTCCATGTACAAGTAGTAATATAATGACTCATTCTAAGCCAAGTCCCCTCATAAGTCTCCCCCTTAGTAAGAAATTATAAACACATCAGTTTTTATTTAAAATTTTCCATCTAATCTCCTATACTCCTACAGTGCCATAAAATGACCTTCAAAATAATGTTTATATATACTAAGTCCTTCAAAATATTAATTTTATAGTCTAAGAATCTTCCATCAGGAAATCTAAATATAATCTCAAATTGGTCATTTATTTTACAGAGGAGAAAACAAAATGTCCAGAAGTGTTAACTACGCTTGGTCCAGGGTCACTCATCTGCCTAGTATGTCATCCATCCATTCATTCAAGAAATCTGTATTTAGTGTATACTGTGTATTAAGGCACTGTGCTATGTACCAAGGATATGAAGCAATAATATATGGTCACTGTCCTCATGGAACTTACAGTCTGATGGGAAAGACAAATACTAATTACTTAAAACTGTAGTAATCACTCGAAGGGAAAGTACAATGTGCTTTAAGGCTGTTTAACAGGGGAGCTAAATCAGTGATTCTCAACCATGATCAATTTTGCCCTCCAAGTGACATCTGGTAATGCCTGGAGACATCTCTGATTGTCACAATATTGGGTAGAAGCCAGGGCTGCTGCTTAACAACCCTACAATGCACAGGACAGCTCCTGGCAACAAGTATCCAGCCCAAAACATCAACAGTGCTGCGGTAGAGCAACCCTGATTTAAACCATTAATGAAGGCTTCCTTCCTTTATAACACTTAGTATGCTACATCTTTAAGGAATTTTCACAGGGTGGAAGAAACAAGAAAGATGGCCTGATTGATACAATTATCCAATACTCCCACTGGAAAGTTAAAATAGGAAAGAAAAAGGAGAAACATTCCCTAGTAGATGAAGATGAAAGATTTATAGCTGCTTCACATAAATTCCCTTTCCTGAACCATAAACAAAGGGAAAATACACAAATTTTAAAATTTCACGTTTTATTCCTTATTCTACCTTTCCCACTGTTTTCTATCAACCCATGTCTGCGCCTAAACATTGGCGGAAAGAGTGTAAAAAGCCCTATAGTTAAGCAAATGAACATTCTTGATACAAAATTGGAAATAGAGTAAAACGGAGATGGGTCTTCACTTTTGATGTGAAAGGCATGGCACAGACGGTGTTATGATGACCCTGGAAAGTCTGCATCCTGGAACAGTTTAAACAGTAAGTTATCTGACTAACAAAAGGATCCTAAGGACAAAAACACAAAGCACTGAGGTATCCTAAATATGATGGACGGTACTAGAATCCTCTCAGAATTGATGAACCAAGGCAAATCCAAAAACTGAATTGCTCTAACTTTCCTGACACATCCATGCCTACATATCTGGTCCCGAATCTCCCCATGCAGCCTACTGAGAGCAGCAAGAGAATGTCGTGGGGGGAAACCACCACAGTAATACAACTAGCTACACAAAGAACCTAAAAGTAAATTGATCACTGACTGGTATTTGATTATGCTAAAGATTTATTAATTTTTGGAAGTATAATAATGGAATTGGGGCTGTGTTCTTAAAGTCCTTAAATATTAAAAATATCCAATACAGAAAAGCAAAATCCACCACCACCACTCACTTTCTTATCTAAGCATAACCAATGCTTAACATAGTCTATGTTCCATGTATTAGAGGAGTTCCTATGTTACGGAAATGCGCCCTCTAAGTTATAACTTTCTAAACAAAGGGTCATGCATTGCTATTCTCTTTTCCCTCTTTTCAAAAGCAAACCCTGCCATAATGAACCTCCACACAGAGGCATCCTTAAGGACAGAGTATAGATATACTGCTCTCACAAAACTGCTGCAATCAAGTAATCAACTGTGGTACTAAAGCAGTCCACGGATGTAAGAGGACCAATGAGACCCTTTCCGCTGAGGTGAGAAGACTAAACCATAATAAGCAAGGGCCACTATCTTAGAGCAGCAACAATCACAGTATCTTGTAATGACAACAATTCTAGAGTTAACTGCTCAAACACTGACTCAGGAAGTCTTACATTTTCTTTCATTTCCGAATTGACATTAGTGGTGATGGAATTAACTATCTCATCACAATGACACATAGAAATTAAAGTTTTCCCACAAAACTAGCACAGTGGGCACCTAAATATCAATTCCTAAGCCTAAATCTCATTTAACTCATGATAATTAAGAGGAATTTACCGCATGAAGGATCTTATGACAGGAATTTTGAAGACACGGGTGGGGAGGCTACAGAAGCCTTTGAGAAATTATTGGGGGGAGGGCATGACAATCCTGACTCATACATATTGTGCATAAGATCAGGGATTTTCAGAGTGAAACATCAGCTGTTTGCAGATTAAAAACCTATATTCTTTTTTTAATTGACTTTGTTTTTGTTTTTTGAGAGAGGAGGGGAGAGGAAGAGAGATAGAGGGAGAGGGG